ATTCTTTTATTTCATTTATTTCATTTATTTCTGATCTGATCTGATCTTTATGACTTCTGCTAACTTTGTTGTTTTTTTGTTGTTTCTCTAATTGCTTTAGGTGTAAGGTTAGCTTGTTGATTTGAGATGTTTCTTGTTTCTTGGGATAGTATTGTATTGCTATAAACTTCCCTCTTAGAACTGCTTTTGCTGCATCCCATAGGCTTTGGGTCATCGTGTTTTCATTGTCTTTTGCTTCTAGGTATTTTTTGGTTTCCTGTTTAATTTCTTCAGTGATCTCTTGGTTATTAAGTAGTGTATTGTTTAGCCACCATGTGTTTGTATTTTTTATAGATTTTTTCCTGTAATTGATATTTAATCTCATAGTGTTGTGGTCAGAAAAGATACTTGATATGATTTCAATTTTCTTAAATTTACCAAGGCTTTATTTGTGACCCAGGATATGATCTATCTGAAGAATATTCCATACGCACTTGAGAAGAAAGTGTATTCTGTTGTTTTTGGATGCAATGTCCTGTAAATATCAATGAAGCCCATCATGTTTAATGTATCATTTAAAGGTTGTGTTTCCTTATTTATTTTCATTTTGGGTGATCTGTCCATTTGTGAAAGTGGGGTGTTAAAGTCCCCTACAGTGATTGTGTTACTGTCAATTTCCCCTTTTATGGCTGTTAGTATTTGCCTTATGTATTGAGGTGCTCCTATGTTGGGTGCATAAATATTTACAATTGTTTTATTTTCTTCTTGGATTAATCCCTTGATCATTAGGTAGTGCCCTTCTTTGTCTCTTGTAATAGTCTTTATTTTAAAGTCTCTTTTGTCTGATATGAGAATTGCTACTCCAGCTTTCTTTTGATTTCCATTTGCATGGAATATCTTTTTCCATCCCCTCACTTTCAGTCTTTATGTGTCCCTAGGTCTGAAGTGGGTCTCTTATAGACAGCATACATATGGGTCTTGTTTTTGTATCCATTCAGCCAGTCTATGTCTTTTGGTTGGAGTATTTAATCCATTTACATTTAAGGTAATTATCAATATGTATGCTCCTATTACCATTTTCTTAATTGTTTTGGATTTGTTATTGTAGGTCTTTTCCTTCTCTTGTGCTTCCTGCCTAGAGAAGTTCCTTTAGCATTTGTTGTAATGCTGGTTTGGTTGTGCTGAATTCTCTTAGCTTTTGCTTCTGAGGCTGCTGGGAGAGATTTCCCTTTCTCTTCTTTGTTCGTACAGCTCCTGGGGTTCTGCTTTGGATTTGGCCCTGCCTCTGTGTGTTGGTCACCTGAGGGGGTCTGTTCTTCCCTCAGACAGGACAGGGTTAAAGTACCAGCTGATTAGGGGGCTCTGGCTCACTCAGGCTGGGGGTAGGGAAGGATACGGAATGTTTGGTGAGCCTGTGGTGACAGAGGCTGGCGTGACGTTGCACCAGCCTGAGGCACACCATGTGTTCTCCCAGGGAAGTTGTCCCTGAATAATGGGAGCCTGGCAGTGGTGGGCTGCACAGGCTCGCTGGATGGGAGGTGTAGATAGTGACCTGTGCTTGTACACAGGCTTCTTGGTGGCTGCAGTAGCAGTCTTAGTGTTTCATGCCCGTCTCTGGGGCCCACGCTGATAGCTGCGGCTTCTGCCCCGTCACTGGAGCTCGTTTAGGTGGTGCTATGAATCCCCTCTCCTCGTGCATCCTGATACAATGGTCTCTTGCGTTTTAGGCAGGTCCATACTTTTTCCTGGACTCCCTCCTGGCTAGGTGTGACGCACTATCCCCCTTCAGGCTGTGTTCACACAGCCAACCCCAGTCCTCTCCCTGGGATCTGACCTCTGAAGAAGCTGGAGCCTCAGCTCCCAGCCCCCACCCATCCCGGCCAGCAGGTGAGCAGACAAGCCTCTTGGGCTGGTGAGTGCTGTTGGGCACTGATCCTCTGTTGGGAATCTCTGCACTTTGCCCTCCGCACTCCTGTGGCTGCGCTCTCCTCCCTGGCTCCGAAGCGCCCCGCCACCCCCCGTCTCTATCAGTGAAGGGGCTTCCTAGTGTGTGGAAACTTTTCCTCCTTCACAGCTCCCTCCCAGAGGTGCAGTTCCCATTCCTATTCTTTTGTCTCTGTTTTTTCTTTTTCCTTACCCAGGTATGTGGGGAGTTCCTTGCCTTTTGGGAGGTCTGAGGTCTTCTGCCAGCGTTCAGTAGGTGTTCTGTAGGAGTTGTTCCACATGTAGGTGTATTTCTGATGTATTTGGGGGAGGAAGGTGATCTCCACGTCTTACTCCTCCACCATCTTGAAGGTCTCCCTCTGTTAAGATATTTTGATCTATGGGTTATAATTTTTATCCAATTTGGAAATATTTTGGCTATTATTTTTTCAAATTTTTTTTCTGTCTCCACTCCTTTTTTCATCTTTATTTTAAGGACTCCAATTATATGTATATTTCTCACTTGGGGTTGTTCCAGAGCTCAATGATGCTGGTTTTTTTTTTTCAATCTTTTTTCTCTTTGTGCTTTTTTTGGGGTAGTTTCTACTGCTATACATTCAAGTTATTTCTTTTTTCAGTGTGTAATGTGTTCATAATCCCACTCAGTGTATTTTTTTTATCTCAGACATTGTAGTTGTCATCTCTCAAGGTTTGATTTGGGTCTCTCTCTTTTTAAAAAAAATTTTCCATGTCTTTAATTAATATAGCTCCTTTGAATATTTATAATAATATAATAATTGTTTTAATGCCTTTGTCTACTAATTCTATTGTCTGTGTCATTTCTGAGTTAGTTTTGATTGATTTTTCTCCTTGTTAATGGGTTGTAATTTCTTTTCTCTTTCTGTGTCCTGTAATTTTTGACTGAAGGACAGAATTCCTGAATTTTTATCTAATTGTGTGTTGAGTATTTTAGTTTTCCTCTAAATATTCTTGAGGTTTTTTTTTTTTTTCTGGGACACATTTAAGTTACTTGAAAAAGTTTGATCCTTTTTAATGTTGTTTTGAAGCTTTGATAGGTGGGATGGGAGCAACATTTATTCTAGTGTGAACTTTACCTGCTACTGAAACCAAACTCTTCCATGTGTTCTACCTGATAACCTAGTGAATTTTGATGGTGTATATTATGGCCAGTGAGAACAAGGATTATCTCTGGCCCTGTCTGGGCTTGTGGATTATTTCCTGTAACCTTTTTCACTGTTTTTGGTTTGTTTTTTTTTCCCTCCCCAACCTCAGGTAGTTTCCTCATAGGCATGCATCCATTAGTATTCTACTGAGTACTCAAATGGGACTCTGAAGATCTCTGGAGTTCTTTCTCTGTTGCTCTATATGCTCTCTGCCTTGAGAACGTTTGCCACTTTGGCCGTCCCAGATTCCCACCTCTATCTCCTGAACTCGGGGAGAATGCTGGGTTGCTCCTGGGCTCCCCTCCCCTGTGTTGTGGCTTGGAAATTTCTCTAGGTGGTTAGCTGGTGCAAACATAGGGCTCACTTTGTTTCATTTTTGTCAGAGATCCCTGTTGTTCATTTGATAATTTCCAGTGTCTTAAAAAATGGTTCATATATTTTATTCCATTTTTTAGCTTTTTGAGATGGGAGGGTAAATTTGGCCCCAGTTTTTCCATCTGGGCACAGAGTGAAAGTCTCCAGTGTTATAATTTTTATTTGTTTTTTTCTTTTTTTGAGTCAGCAGTCAAATATATTTCACTTGTAATTTTTTGATTTGAATTTTTTTGATATCTCCTCTTCTGTAGGCTTTCTCCTTCATGTCTCTCTCTTTTTTTTTTTTTTGCGGTACGCGGACCTCTCACTGTTGTGGCCTCTCCTGTTGCGGAGCACAGGCTCCAGATGCGCAGGCCCAGTGGCCACGGCTCACGGACCCAGCCGCTCCACGGCATGTGGGATCCTCCCAGACTGGGGCACAAACCCGCGCCCCCTGCATCGGCAGGCGGACTCTCAACCACTGTGCCACCAGGGAAGCCCCCATGTCTCTTTTTAATTTGCAGTTTATTTGTTAAAGAGTACAAATTATTTTTCCTGTGAGTTTCCCATACTCTGAATTTTGCTGATTACATCCCTGTGATTTTGTTTAATATTTTCTCTGTCTTGTTCCCTATAAATGGATAGTTGCATCTAATGCTAATAGAGTTAGGATTGATTAGTTTGGCCATACTACTGCAAGTATAGTGGTATATACTTTCAGCAGTGGGTACATTATATCTGTTTGTCTCCTTTTTTGTGATTGTAACAGCTATTGATAGTCAATGCTAAGATCCATTAATTCATTGGAAGTTGAAAAATGGTGGTATTCTATTCTTTTAAGCTTTCTTAAATATTTCCACACAGAGAATGTTTCCCTTATTTACCACTGTTTATGTGGTACAATTTGGTAGGATACAATTTTTAGCTGGAATATTTCCACACAGAGAATGTTTCCCTTATTTACCACTGTTTATGTGGTACAATTTGGTAGGATCATCAGGATAAATTCTTGGTTCTTTGTCTTTATTATTGATTTTTAAAATAATGAGTTGATTCTTTAGGATCCTTCAATAGTGAACATTTGGGTTTTTTGTTTTATTTTTAGTGTCAATATGAACCCATGCCTTTAAATATATTTGATGTATTTTACTTCATCGAAGTTATTATTATTTTGATACTCAAGTATTTTCATCTCTGGCCAGTGGTAGTCTCTTTAAGTTGGCTCTTACGTCCTTTTCATACAAGTCTGCTGGTCACTGATAGTTTCCTTGCTTTCTGGTGTGACAGGCATTCTAAGTTCATCTTGTACATTTCCTGCCTCAGACCTAGAATGAACTAGTAGAAGAAAGAAAATTAAGTGATTTCAGCATATTCTTCTGAGGCAGTAATTTTAGCATTTGGAAGCAACTGTGGAGATCAGTTAATATATTATAGTCCACACACGGACCTTAAACATGACTAGTGACATAAAAAATACTCATTGTCAACTAAGCTTCCTATTTTAAACATTAAGTGTTTTGCCTTGTGATTATGTAAGGTGATTTTTAATTTTCTTTGTAGGCTTTGCCAATCAGTCAGAAGATGATCAGGTGAATGTAATGGGTTTTCGCTTCTTAGGAGGTTCCCGAGTTACTCTTCTTGCTTCCAAAACCTCTCGTAAGTAAAGGCATGGTATTATTGCTTTTGAAAACTTCTATTAAGAACAGTGCATCACAGATCATTGCCACATCAAAGATTTCTGCAAGGGTGATGTTAGATATTGAAAACTAAGAGCCACTATATTAGTTATGAAGATAGAATCCTGTTTTATTAGTGATACTTAACTTTGGTTTTGGGGATGAGGAGAGTTTGATAGAGGAATTTAAAGAACTGAAAAATGTTTTGATATAGGTATATGGTGAGCTAGGTTTTAGGAGTTACTAGAAACTGGAGTTAATTTTTTGGGGGTATGTGTATATTCTTATATCTGCCTTTTGGACACTTGCAAAGATGAAAGTGAAAGTGAATAACTTTTGCTGAGATTAATCTCAGTAGAATGAAAAGTAGTAATTGTATAGTCAAGTTTGAATTCCATATTTAAATATGCTTTATTGATTTGTTTGCTTCATATGGGAATAATGGTTGAAACTACTCAGTGTAAAGCTGACTTCTGATGTATGTAGATAATGAAGCTACTAAACTCACTGAGTTTTGTATACCTTCTTGGAAATAAATTAAAATATTAAGAAAGGAAGTGTTTAACAAATTTTAGGTACACTAAGGGTATTAGGGGAAATGAATGTGTGTGTATGTATATATATATATATATAAGTCTGAGTACACTCCAATTTTTTAAATCTCTGCCATTTGTACAATGGTTTTCATTTTCTATCAATACTTTATGGATTTGCACTTTTAATTGGTTATTTATAATTAGAAAATATAGTAAAATAAGGATATGTTCTTTTTGAAAAATGAAGATGTTAACAGGGGGAACATATATACATCCTTATTTTAGAAACTGTAATGAAGTTTCTGTGGTTAAAATCATAACAGCTTCTGGAATGTGTAGGTTGGTGGCTAGTGAAATAAATTTGGAAACAACTAAAAATTAAAGAATAAGATACACAAATTAAAGACATTTCTGAGAAGAATGAGAGAATTCTGTACTTTTCGTGGTCTTTGTGATTGGTCATGATTGTAGTCTTCTTTACATTGGCACCATTTTACTTTGATTAATTTTAATCTTCAGTTGGATGATGGAATCATTTTTGTACATTTCTCTTTGTTAAAATGTTCTCTTTAGTTATACTAAAAAATTGTTGCCATCATTTCTTTGGGAAATTATACAAATCTGTTTGATTTCAGTTGATGATGCTGTATGATGAATCTGCAATTGAGACCATTTAAAAAAGGCAAAAATTTATTTGTGCAAATGAGGGTATTTATGTCCTAATGCATTATATTATTCATTTTTAGATAAAGTAACTCTTAGAACATTGCTGTTGCCCATAGTCACTTTATCATTCTCTAAATTTCACCAAATATCCATGTATATAACTGATTTATTCACATTCATCTTAATATATGGTAATGAATGCCTTGACACAGCTACAGTGTGGGCAGACAGACTAAATAATGGAATTGGACAGAATTCTATAAAGAATTCTTTTACATATTACATGTAAAATGTAATATTACATTTTTATTACATAAAGAATTACATATTACATAAAGAATTACATATTACATAAAGAATTACATATTACATAAAGAATTACATATTACATTAAGAATCAAATGAACTGTGTAAACTGAAACATGAAGTGTAGCCATTACAATTCCCTGATGGTTATTTTGGCCTCAGTGATGTCCAGAATTCTACCTAGGGAATGTCCTTGGAGATGAAGGAAGATAGATATGAAGAAAATACAGTGGGATGGAGTCAAGATGGTGGAGTAGGAGGATGCGGAGTTTGTGTCTCCTCACAACTAGGGCACCTACCAGGCACTGGTAGGGGACCACGGACACCTAAGGAGATGGGAGGAACCCCTGAGCAACTGGATAGGATGTGGGGGTGGAGAGGGAGCGTAGGGAGAGGTGGAGGCAGTTTGGGACCAGTGCCCCTGAGGGGTGGCTGAGGGAGGGGAGGTGCTCGCATGCCTGGAGTGGTCCACTCATGGTGAGGGGAGCAACGGGGATGGGGGAGAGACCCTTGGGGGATTGGAGTAAACACAGCCAGCATTTCCCCTGCCCACTTGGGCTCTGGGGAGACTGCTGAGATCCCAGGCCTGATCCTCTGCCCTCTGAGGCCCCCTCCAGCTGTGTGAGTCCTGAGGGCATGGGAGGGAGGGAGAGGGAGAGGGGAGAGGAAAAGTGGAGGCCAGACGGGATTGGTGGCCCTGGGGGGGGGGCGGCTGGGGGAGGGGAGGGGTTCCCATGCTCCGGAGGGTCCCACTATAGTGAGGGGGTCAGCGGGGAGCCTGCTGAGGTCCAGAGCCTGATTCTCTACACTCTGAGGCACCCTGAGCCTAAGCCCCGCCCCCACACCCCCACCCAGGGCCTAACTTCTGAACTCCTCACTCTGAGGCCCCCCTCCGGCCCTGATGCTTTATCCAGCCCTGCAGGTCCTAAGCCTAGGCCCTGCCCCCACCTAAGCCCCGACCCCACAGCTAAGACCTTTTCCAGCCTTTTTTTTTTTTAAGGTGTGGTTATTTTTTTTTTTTTCATGTTTATTTATTTTGGCTGCACTGGGCCTTAGTTGTGGCACACTGGATCTTCGTTGCAACATGTTAAGTTGTGGCATGCATGTGGGATGTAGTTCTCCGACCAGGAATCGAACCCCGGCCCCCTGCATTGGGAGCATGGAGTCTTAACCACTGGGCCACCAGCGAAGTCCCTATGGTTCTGTTTTACCTTGTTGTTGTTGTTGCATTTATATCTTTATTTTTTCTAAAAATTTTTTATTTTTCTAATTTTCCTTTATTTTTTATTCTTTGTTATTGTACTGCTCCTTTTTTTTTTTTTTGCTGCACCATGTGGCTTGCAGTATCTTGATTCCCAGGCTCGGCGGGCAGGCCTGAGCTCCTGTGGTGAGAGAGCTCTGTCCAAACTGCTGGACTAACAGAGAACCTCAGATACCAGGGAATATTAATTGGAGTGAGGTCTCCCAGAAGTCCTCATCTCGGCACCAAGACCTGGCTCTACCCAACTGCCTGCAAACTCCAGTTCTGGATGCCTCAGGCCAAACGACCAGTAAGACATGAACACAGCCCCACCCATCAAAAAAAATGACATGACAAACAAATATGTGACAGACAAAGGAGGAAGGTAAAAACCTACAAGACCAAATAAATGAAGAGGAAATAGGCAAACTACCTGAAAAAGAATTCAGAGTAATGATAGTAAAGATGATCCAAAATCTAGGAAATAGGATGGAGGCACAGATTGAGAAAATACAAGAAATGTTTAACAAAGACCTAGAAGAACTAAAGAACAAACAAACAATGATGAACAACACAATATCTGAAATGAAAAATACACTGGAAGGAATCAATAGCAGAATTACTGAGGCAGAAGAACAAATAAGTGAGCTGGAAGATAGGATGGTAGAAATAACTACTGAGGAGCAGAATAAAGAAAAAAGAATGAAAAAAATTGAGGACAGTCTCAGAGACCTCTGGGACAAC